GGGAAGGGAAGGGGAGGAGAAGGGAGGGGGATTGAGTTGGGAGTATGCCCCTGTGATGGGTCTGCCGGGATCCGCACTGCGTCCAGCCGGGGGTCGGCAGGCAGGGGTGGGAATTGGCGGGGAATGGTACGGCAAGAGCAAAGATACCATAATTGTAAGACAGTTGCAAATATTAGAGTACTTTTCAAAATGTTGGCTCAAAGCATCTTGTCCAGACCTAATGTTTTGCTATATTGTGACTTGATAAACTTTACTTTACTTAAAAAAAAAAAAAAAGGAAAAAAACCCCCCCCCCCCCCCCCCAAAAATTGTGCTATCGCGAAAACATGTTAAGCGGGTAAGTGTTAAATGAGGAATTACTGTACTACCATTCAAGTTTGGGTTATACAGTGTCAGCCTGTAATGCAGCTTCCACACTGCTTAACTCTTTTGCCTAATAAAAGCAGAGCTTTTAACTTGGGCTTTAAATGCTACCGTTGGTTAATGCATTAAGCTTTCTCATCCAAAGACTGCTGTTCAAATCCAGCTTGGTGGCTAGTGAACTTGAAGTTACTCATAAGAACGGCTTACTGGGTCAGATCAAATGTCCATCTAGACCAGTATCCTGTCTTCTGATACTGAGGGAATGAACAGACTAGGTAATCGTCAAGTGATCCTACCCCTGTTGCCCATTACCAGCTTCTGACAAACAGAAGCTAGGGACGCCATTCCTATATATCCTGGCTAATAGCCATTAATGGACCTATTCTCTGTGAATGTATCTAGTTCTTTTTTTAACCCTGTTAAAGTCCTGGTCTTCACCACATCCTCTAGCAAGGAGTTCCACAGGTTGACTGTGTGTTTATGTGGAAAAAATACTTCCTTTTGTTTGTTTTAAACCTGCTACCTTTTAATTTCATTTGATGACCACTAGTTCTTATGTTATGGGAACAAGTAAATAACTTTGTTGCCTTATTCACTTTCTCCCCACCAGTCATGATTTTATAGACCTCTATCATGTCCTCCCTTAGTCTCCTCTTTTCTAAGCTGAAAAGTCCCAGTCTTTTAAAGTCTGTTCATATGGCACCCATTCCAAACCCCTAATCATTTTTGTTTCCCTTTTCTTTCTCCCTTCTTTTGAGATCACTAAACTGATTGGCTTTTCTCCACGTGATCGGTGGTTTGTGTCCGTGTAGGTCCAGGACCAGAATAACAGGATGATTGTAAGAGGAATGAGGTGTGTTGGTGGGGTTATTCAGACAAACTCAGTGACTAGTCAGTTTGTTTGGGTCTAGCCAGTTATTCAGCCTCTGAGTTTTTATGAACACTTCACTGTTAAGATTTCTTTTAAACAAAAATGACTGGTATTTTTGAACATATGCAATGTTCTTTAAAGAAAACCAAACTTTTTTCTGTGATAGTTTGAGATATCTGTATAAATAGAAGGGAAAGGACTTTGAGGTCTGACATGGGACATCCCAAATACTGCAAATGTCACAATTGTTTATCTTATATGATAGTTACCAGCAATAAACTCTGAAAGAAAGAACAACAAACAAGCAAACCCTTCAGTTCTGTGTTCCTCTTTCCATGAGCCCCAGTTATCACCCTAAAGGGTCCTTTCTACTTTTATGAACAGCTTTTTTAATGTTCCCACCTTTAAGCCCTGCTTTGGCAAAAATATTTACCTCTACCTTTGCAGGCTAAGGAGAGAGTTTTGAATGCTGGTTCTGAAACATCCTGAATAATCGCTGCACAGCAACCCAGGGCTCTTCTAGTATCTGTCACCTCTGCAGCCCATTTGGGAATGGAGAGGCAAGAGAAACTTAATTTGGATTCCCCATACCCTGGTGAGGTGCTTTTGTCAGGCTGGCTCCTGGACCGTAATTTCAAATACAAACAGGAATATCCATCCTGCTTTCCCCATGTTAAGGTCAATGATGTTGACCAAAACAGAAGCTATTTGCTTTTCAGTTATTTAGATTAGAACACAGTATCTAGAATTTCACTTGATGTGCGTTCACTAGTCAAAATGAAAGTTGATCTAATGCAACTTTTTATTGTGTTGCAGTTTGTTAAAGTCTCATACGTTGTTTGAGGTTGCTATAGAAACCTTGCCATATATATTCAGTCCTAGATAAACTCTATTGTGTTGTGTGTGTGTGTGTGTGTGTGTGTGTGTGTGTGTGTTTTAATCATAGATCTAAATTGCTAAATGACTCAGAGGGTTGATAATGCAGCTTTCCGTCTCTTTTATGGCTGCTGGTTCTAATGTGACACTAGTTTATGGTGGCTGTAAATTGTTTTATAATCTGACATCTGGTAGCCTGAAGCACTTAGCTTGTTTCTGTTTGTCATACTCAGAAATCTGTATAACAGTTGATATTGTGGATAGCACTTCTAGATAAATATTCCAAGGAGTGAATAAGCCAGTGGAGACTATATACTCTCTCTGGGTCAGGCCAGGAGACCAGTCGTGTGGCATTGAGAGGAAACTAATAACCTCGCTGTCCATACTATACCTATCCTGTGGATAAATAGAATGACAACCTCCAGTACTGTCAGTGGAGCACAGCTGGCAGCTCCGAGAGCTGCTGCGCATGACTCCCAAGTTTCTCTGGCATGCCAACGTGGTATTGGCTCAGTAATGTGTTCAGAACTTGATCTGTTGTCCCCTAGCTCTTCTCCCTCAATAAAGACATTCTGTTATGACACATTCCTTCTATGAATCATGGCCATGTTAGAGGGATAAGTAACTTGAGGACCCTTCAGAAATCACTGCAGAGTTGCGTCATGTTCCTCTTGCTACACCCGTGGAGTTCTGGGTCATGGTCAGGGAAATGCAAATTGTTCCTGCCGGACTCTATACTTCCCCTGAAACTGGAGATTCAGCAGCATTTGCTGAGTTTGCCCTGGCAAGCAGCAGGGGAACAGAATGGGGAATAATGGCAGCTTTACTTTGCTTCCCTCCATCCTCTTTCTTCCTCATTCAATGGAAACCTTACCTGGGTTTTCTGCAGATGAGAGGGGGTTGGTACATTTGGCTGCATCATCTCCACACCTTTCAGCAACCCGCTGCATTTGTTAGTGCTAATTCTAGCAAGGTATGGTCTACTCCAGTGTCACCTTCCTCCCTCCCCAAGGCATTGCTGCAGCCAGATACACACAAGTCATTGGTGTCCCTGGAGACATTGTGAAGGCTTGTGGTTTCATAGACTTGATGGCCCCATCTCTGTGGCACTAAGTATCTAGCCCCCCAGCCATTTCCCTGGGGATGGTCTGTTCCACTGGGGACAAACCTGGCCACCCACAAAAGGAGATATTCCAAGAAAACTCAGCAAGTCCAGA